CATGGGGAATATGTAATTGACAAGGTTGAAAGATACTACTATAAATTTGTTGCTTAATGGATTGATTTCAATGTTTAACCATTCTTCTTCTGTTTGGAACCATGGAGGAAACGCAAATTCACTCAACACCCCACCCGTTCCTAACATCGAATAAAGGATGAAAACTAAATTTTAAGTTTATGTTTGCCTATTTTCAAAACCAATGAAAGGTTTAAAACAAATTCAGGGAATGCCAGTGCGAATGAAACCACAGCCTCGTATCCTCCTTAAGGACAATTAGAAAACTTGTTTTCAAAATTCCTTATTTTCTTGTTTCCTCTATTCCCTCTGAGTTCCAAATGACCTCATTCACTTAAATCTTCCATGCACGGCAAACGCGAAACAGGTTACCTTCATTTGGAAACAGCAAAGCGCGACCGGCAAAAGTGAGAAAATGGCGGGAAAACAAGGTCACGTGGTCACTCTCGCAGTTCACGTTTCAGGCAAAAGCGGTGCTAAATCTCTTTAATAAGATTATCGGTCCGAAGGTTACCGATGGATTCCCCGTTATTTTTGTTTGTCTGCTTGTTTGTTTTTCATGTTATTTCAAGCGGGACAGAAAATACATTCAAGTTGGGCACGAAAATATATTCGGGATGATTAGAAACAATTTCTTCATCAATTTTAATTAACTCTTTCGTTTTGAGCCTGGTTCTAATTCAATTCATCAGCCCTATGACGTCATACATGAACTCAATGGGCTGAAGATGTACACATCCAAGTTGCGCACATTTTGTTTGATAAGCTGGATATTCTGTTGCACCCTTTGTTCAAAAGTCGACGACAAGATACAACCATGTAAGTGCTGTTATACTCATGACATCGATTATCGATTAAAAGCGAAAATTGACGCTCTCCCTCTTGACTTTGTGTCGAGGTTTCCTTAACACATTGCACGCGCTTTATCTAGCTTTGATTTTTCACCTCTAAAAATTCGACTAGTTTCTCTCTCTTCTAGCTGTCATAAATTTCTTTTCTTATTGGTAAAGAGCAGTTGGCCTAAAATCAAGAAAGCATATCGTTTTTTAAGGAGGAGGACGTGTGACAACTTTATAGGAGCACTTTTACAAAGTCTATAACACGTGACACCCACGTGTTCCTTAACGTTAAAAATATACATTTAAAGTCGGACTGGCCCGCATATAGGGGAATCCTTGTTTACAATATTTGCCTCATTAGCATAAGCAATTCAGTTTCTGATGGAGCTAAAAATAAATCAGTTCTGAATATCGAAAG